ACCCCTTCTAACCTGCTTCTGCAGCCCTGGCCACATAGAGCCTGATACTGTTTATATTAAAGTTTAATTTGTAATAAGGTGTTGATCTGCACAACGTGGGGGGGGGGGGCTAGGGGAGGAAGTGATTTGACTTCGAGGTTAAAAAAGGAAGCCCAGAACTGTGTTAGCTACAAACCTTCCCTGGGGTCAGGGCGCTTAGAGACAATCCTTATTGCCACTCTTACCTAGACTTCTGCTGTATGGTAGTTTTACATGGAAAGACGCAAACGAACATCTACCCAACCCTGGGACGACAAGAACAGATCAAAGAAAACATGTCCACCCAAGTCTAGCTTTGTCAATCAGTGCATTTACTGAGTTTGCTACAGAGACCTGAGTGAGGGGTTACATATAGAAGTGTGGGTAACTCAGAGGCAGCTGCATTATCAAAAAGCCCACTCAGCATGAGTGACAACTCATGAAAACCATATCCCTGGCGGACAGTTCTGTTGAATAGCCTCCCTGCCCTGGAAACTGTTTACTGCCTTTATAACTTTGGGGAGGGGCCTAGTGAATTTTGTGCTTTGCATGAGCTTCTGAGTCTTCTGAGCCTCCCTCTTCCCTCCAGGAGGGAATCTTTCAATCTGGAGGGATTAGCTGCTCAGCACTCTACTCCACATTAGTCTGTCCATGACACTGGTGGCTAGAAAAAGAAATTATTTTATTTCTATATTTTAAAAAAGGGAAACCAAGAACCAAGGCAGTTAAGAACCTTCCCTGGGGTCACAGCAGCCAAAGCAATCGGTGAATTTGACTCTAGCTGGGCCCCACACCTCTAGTGCTTCTGAGGAGGGTCTGACAGGAGGAGCCAGTGCCACACTCCAAAGAGGCTAAGGGCACTGCTGGAACAAGATGTACGTGTTTTGCTTATTCCCTAGCCAGATGAGAGTGGCAACCAGTACCTAGTGTAGGGTAGGGTTGAGAAACCTGCCCAGTTCCCCATCGTCAGTGGGGAATCCTTGGCCTACTTTGTCCTCACCCTGGTCTTCTCTGCTGTGTCCTTACCCTCTTCCAGGTCCCAGGCCCTAGGGTCAGTGATACGAGGTTACACCTGTGCCTTGCTGATCCTTCTCTGGGTGTCTGTGTCTGGATGCCTGCACCTTGTTTTCTCTACCTCTTCTGTGAGGCCCACCCCCTTAACAAATCAATGCTTCCTGTGCCATTCTCCTGTGGTCACATTTCTATCTTCACATCTTCCATCATCTGTGAACCATGCACCTCTGGCTATCCCCACAGTGGCTTTGACTACTCACTTCCCAGCCACACTTCCTTAGAGACCTGTTGTGAATCAGTGATAGAGGTGGAGGTGGTGAGAACAAGGACCCATTGGCCAATAGAAATTACCGCAGGGCATGCTGGTGTCTTAGACCTCAGGCTAGAAGTGTTTGCTCACTTGACAGAGTTGTTCACAACCAGCAGCTGCTAATTGAACACCCATTTGGTGTCAGGCCCTAGGAGAGCTGCTGGATCAAGGCAAACGTAGCCCCTTTCTTCCCAGGCTCACAGCCTGGAAAGGGAAGTGACAGTGAGGACAAACCAGGGATGCAAAGAAAGAATTATCGCAATGGAAGTAATGGATAATGAAGGCTACAGTGAATCACAATGCAGGCTTGGTGTGTGTGTGTGCACACATGAACATGCATAGTGTGTTTTCAATGAATATCATATATGCAGGGAAACAAACCCTAGGGGCTTTGGCCTTCCTGTCTACGATGCTGAGAGCTTTATGATACCAACAGCAAAAAACAAAACAAAATAAAACAAAACAGACTGAGCCCTAAGCTCTGCTCTGGAGTGAAGGAGAAGAGAGGCTCTCCTGAGAGTCACCTTGCATCTGAGCTGTCATCATCACTAGGGACACTCAGAGGGGATCTTGGGAGGTTCCAAAGATGGAAGAGGCTCTGGATATGGGAACCCAGATGTGGCGCTCCTAAACTCCTGTGGCTAATCTTTGCTGCTGTTAATTGGATGCTCAGAGCTGGCCTGCCCTGGCTGCCAGGACCCCATGGAACCTTTGCAAGTCCTTCACTGGCACCAACTCTTTGCCATCAGATCTGATGAGCTGTCTGTCTGTCTGTCTTCTTTCCACCACTTTGGTCCCTGGCCCCCTTGGTACATGGAGCTCATTGCTTCTCCTGTGACACTTGCCCTCAAGGAAGGCAAGACTCTGAAGTAAACACAAAGTGACAAATCCTTAAATATCAGAAGTTGCTCTGTAAAGCACTATAATATTTCTCAGATGTGGTTGGGATCAATAAATCACTTTTGGTGGACGTTATTAGTTTAAGATGTAATTGTAAAATTGATTTTTATGACCTGTCCTTACTACTGCATCTTGGATCCCCTAAATATACATAATTTTCTGCATCTTCATTTATCATTTGTCAAAACATAAAATTATTGTTTTTTTCTCATTATTACAAAAGGGGGAAGATGGATCAGGCCCTTCAAAAACTGTGGGCTGCAGCAACATTTTTAAATCTGAAAAAAACCTCTCCCAACCTCCCTTGAATTGCAACTAATTTCCTCCATTGCCATCACTTTGCAGTGGATGTAGGGTCTCCTCTGGGAGGGAAGGATCAGAAGTATAAAACTTCTGTGACAAATAACTCACAGAGCTGCAGAGCCAGACAGTGTTGGTGATAGCCCAGAGCTAGGGCCACTGCCTATCTGTCATTCTTGCCTTTCATATTTCTCAGCATCTGCTTGTGTTGCAGGCAACTCCTGTCATTTCCTGTGGTACTGCCCACTGCATTCACTGCAGTGTGGATCAATATGCCAAGGACTACTTGATCTGGAGGAATGCAGCAGAAGCATTCCACCATCCTCTCTGTCTGTTGGGCCCCATGGATCATGAAGGAGGTCCCTCAACATTCCCTGTACAATGCACTCTAAGTCTCAGCTCCTACAGTCATGGTAGTGAGTTAAAAAGAAAAGTTCATTGATTTAGGTCACAAACCCATCACACTAACAAGGCTCACAAGGCCAGGAGCAGATCTCTGGCTCCCAGATGGAAGAGTGCCCAGAATGCTCCAGGCAGAACCTGCTCAGTCTCTAAGAAAATTGAGAGGAGCCTGCTTAAGGATCTGCAGTGGAAATTCTGTACTCAAGGCATCTGAAACAAGTGTGGGTGCTCCTGCATGTCTGTCACCTATCATCTATTTACCACCTACCGTCTGTCTATCTATCTATCTATCTATCTATCAATCATCTATCTATCTATCTATCTATCTATCTATCTATCTATCTATCTATCTATCTATCTATCTATCTATCTACCTATCATCTATTTTCCATCTACCTATCATCTTTCTATCAATAATCTATCTTATCTATCTTCTATCTCTCTATATATTATCTATATTTATCATCTATCATTTCTATTATTCCTCCCCTCCCCACTCTTGGTTTTATCTAGATAGTCTCTCTGCTCCATACGCAAGTCCAGGGTGGCAGTGAGGCTTTTGCACAGGTCCAGGGAAGGTGGGAGCTGCTGCTGCTTCCAGCTCTGGCTTGCATTAATCTTAGTTCCTTTTGATTACCTCCTCTGTAGATAGGAGTTTGGGTCTCAATTCAACTTCCTTTTAAAAAGGAGTAACAACCTGTCCTCTCTCTAGGCTTAACAAATGAGCAGTCTCGCCCTATGGGCACCTTCCATTCAACTACATAAGTCATGCCAAGTCTGGGTTGGGGCCCTAGTGTCTGCATTCAAAAAAACAAAGACATGATTCTTCTGATGAGGCTGGTGTCCAGCCTTCACTGGGTTGGAGGATGTAAAAAGATGCTCCCTCTCCCTTCTCTTGCAGGAGGATTTTGCTTACTTGTTATTTACTTTTGATCACTGCTCAGGAAGTGCCCAGCACAAAGGCACAATCACCTCAAGTCATCACTTGGTGCTGGCTCCTATCCTGTCCTCAGCAACCCTGTCAGTGTGAGCCAGCTGACTTCTCTGCCTTAGTCGATACACCACTCAGTTTGCCTTGCAGAATCACAATGTATGATTTATGGAAGTGCGATCTTATGGTGATGGTCAAATAGTGTCATTTGGTTATGAAAACGGCCACGACTGGAGCCTAGAAAACAATGAGCAAATTCATTAGCAACACAAAGATCCAAAATATCCCTCTGTCAGCTCTGAACACAGTGACCATCAGCTAGCACTATAGAAAGCGTCAAGACTGTGTCAGTGACTTTCATCATCCTGCTTATGCGTAGTGTAGCAGGAATCTTAAATGGTCTTATTAATAAAGTCAAACCCAAGGCCAGTTATTGGGGTGAATGCTGGAAGATCAGAGAAGCAGAACAAGCCACAGCTTCCTCGCCTCGCCAGTTCCTCAGCTGATCCTGTTTCCTCAGATTGGAAGCCTCTGAGTCCTCATCCGAATGGCTCTCAGCTGAACTGCTGCCCAAAACCCTGAATGCTTAACCAGCCAAATGCTTCTAGTTTCTGGTCCTCACACCTCATATATATCTTTCTGCTTTCTGCCATCACTCCCTGGGATTAAAGGCTCACTTTCTGGGATTAAAGGCATGTGTCACCATGCTTGGCTGTTTCCAGTGTGGCCTTGAACTCACAAAGATCCAGAGGGATTTCTGCCTCCCAAGTGATAGGATTAAAGGCGTGTGCTACCACTGCCTATCCTCTATGTTTAATATTGTGGCTGCTCTCTTCTCTGACCCCAGATAAGTTTATTAGCGTGCACAATATTTTGGGGAGAACAATACCACCACAGGGTAGAGTTCAGATAGAGTGCTACAGATTCTGAATGTCTGAAACTTTGTACCATGCTCCCCTGGATTTTACTTTACAAACAGGGCCTTGTCTTGGGATGGGTGAATGAATACCTGAGGGCACACCGTGGTGGGCACCGTGCCTCACGTTTCTAGGCTGCTGCCTACTCTGCTCTTCTATTTTCAGCGAGGTGGTCACCCTATATGTCTGTTTTTGTTTTTTGATACAGATGGGCAGAAGAAAGTCCAAGAAGAATTCGACATTGACATGGATGCACCAGAGACAGAGCGTGCGGCTGTGGCCATCCAGTCTCAGTTCAGAAAATTTCAGAAGAAAAAGGCCGGATCACAGTCTTAGTGGGGAAGCTGCTTCCTATTCCATCTGAAGACACCATGTTCAACCACCATCCATCGAGAGACGAAAAGAGCAATACCCTAGAGAGGAGTCACCCACAGTACACACCCTGCTGATAACCTCATGCATGTACAGAAACCTGTAGTATGTATGCCCCTATAGAAAGGTGTACACAGTGAAATTGTGAGTAGTTTAACCTGATTATCTCCATTACGATTCATCTGCAACTATTTTCCCTGATGTTGTAATAAAAAGGAGGTAAGATGAGCGATTCCAGTGTCTGCTTTTATTTCTCCCATTAGATGAGGCAGGAAAGTGCTCCTCAGGTTAAAGGCAACTGCAAGCCAGGTGTCTCTTGTATTCTTCTTGAAGCTTAGAGGTATAACAGAGTGGGTGACCTGTTAGGGTGGAGCTATTCATCCTCAACCTAGCAGTGCCTGTCTCATTTATAGAGTGCTAAATGTTATAACAGGTGGTGGTTGCATTTCCTCAGTGTGGGAGTGTAGTCTGTACCTTTGACTGCCCCAGATTCAGAATTTATAACCTATCCAGAAGAGCACAAGGTATGGGAGGGCCGTGCGTCTGTGGTTGGAATGTCACCCAGGTGTATCCAGCAAGTACATTTCAGATCTGCAAAGGGTTGCCCCGCCCCCCAAGGGCCATCTTTGCACCTGTGTAGCTCCAAGCAGCAAGCACGTGCTCCAGGCTCCTTCCAGGCTCCTACATCAAAATCTCGGAGAAGATGCCTGGCTTTTCTCCAGTGCAAACCTTGCAGGAATATGGCTTCATATGCCTTGGGGAGCTCCTATGGATAGCAAAAAGGTCCATTTCATGGGAAGCATGTCTCCACAGTGTCAAGAGCCAATGCAGGTTGGTAGAGTGTGACTGTGAGCTAGCTTTGGGAAGCAAACACCAGGAGCATCAAATGCCTGTGTTGCCTGTGGCTGCACATTTGAGTATTGCTGTGAGAGAACCTGAAACAGAAGTGATATTTTGCCCAGCACCTGAGAATGCTCTGTGCTCTAGGAAGGTACCATGGATGCTGTGGACTTGGCTGTGTGGCTCTGGTTGTGCCATAAGCACTTGTGGGAGGAGGGGGCAGAGTGTCTGAGTGTGCACACCTGCATGCTGGCCTGTGGGTGAATGATGTGGGAGTGAGGTAACAGCTGGAGGTAGAGGGGATCCTGTTCTGTCACAAAGCCCTTCTGCTGGTGTTAAGAGCACAGGCTGAGAAAGACTGGAACCCATGGGATGTCCTGTCACACAGCTAAAATGTGCTTGTTGTCTTGTGTAAGGAGATCCCTCCTGCTAGGTCTTCCTGTGGCTGCTGGGGTGGGTGTGGGAGGCTATGCTTGAACTCTCCCGATGACTTCAGTTCACTAACTTCAGTGTTCACGAACACTACACAGGATCATTTCTGCAATGACAACCAAGGATGGCTAAACGGGACTCCTAATGGGCTGGTCCCCATTGAGAAGAAGACAGTAGGTTGCAAAGACACCCCAGAAAGAGCAGCTGAGATAGTCGGGGTGGGGTATGAATGTTACAGAAATTAGATGGCTTAAGATGTCGTCCTCAGGGCTCCCTAAGGCTGCTAATGTAAAGAAAGCTGGGACCCTTGAGCCGGGCGGTGCTGGCGCACGCCTTTAATCCCAGCACTCAGGAGGCAGAGCCAGGCGGATCTCTGTGAGTTCGAGGCCAGCCTGGTCTCCAAAGCGAGATCCAGGAAAGGCGCAAAGCTACACAGAGAAACCCTGTCTCGAAAAACCAAAAAAAAAAAAAAAAAAAAAAAAGAAAGCTGGGACATGTAATTACCATAGTTATCTGTACCTTTGTGCCCAGAGCCACAACTTCCCCCATCCTCTGACTTTTTGATCTAAAAGAAGGTCTAGTCTTATGGGGGATGGTCTGACCCTGACAGCTAGAGGCCACCCTAGCTCTAAGGAAGATATTGCCTCCTGGGGGACTCTGTGTAAAGCATTGTAGGCTAATGGATTCGTTCTTCTGATGACCCCAAGAGTCTGGGAGTTCTCCCACAGCCTGAGGTCCCACAGAGATTCTGATATGTGTCTTCCATTGCAGCTGTAGGGCAAGGGTGTAACTGCTTCCCTTTGTGCCCTAGGGAAGAGTTTAATTTTCCACTTCCTAGGTCGACTCTCAGCTGTTGGGGTGGTAGTGAGACATTTGCTTCCCACCAAAAGCATGGGTTGGGTTTGTGGAGTCTGAGGTCTAGGTGTTGCAGAGCAGAGGAAGCAGCTTGTAGCCCCAGGCCAAAGAGGACTTATCCTACTTGAGGGATGCAGTATTCATCTCAAAAAAAGAAGGAGCCCCCTCAGGGCATGCCACAAGGTGTCTGCAGCTTGGAGCAATGAGTGCTGATTCAATTATGATCCATCCACTGAACTATTATGAGCAAGCACTTGGTGTTGTCCTTGCAAGGCAGGACAGGGTGCTTGCAGGCAGGCTGGTGGGGGAGGGGTAGAGAATCATAGATGTGGAGGATAGAGACAGGTAGAACAGGGAACAGTGAGTGGCAGCTAACCAGTGACCGGGAGACCCACATGCACCGTCCCCAGGGATGCGGCCCCACTGCAATGCTGGCAGGTGGTACAGAGGAGCTAGGCAAAAAAGATACTCTGCTCTAGGACCACAGTGGGTGTCGTATGGTCACCAGAAAACCACATAGGACTCTATGCATCCAAGTGTTGAAAATGGACCCATCTTTGATTTGTAAGTTGGCCAGGCCTCTATGGAGAACTTAACCTGCCATAATATGGTAGTTCCTTAACATCAATATACTGATAAAAAATCTTGCTTTGTGGTTGTCTTAGTAGTGTTTCTATTGCTGTGAGGAGACACCATGACCATGGCAACTCTTATAAAGGAAAACTTTTAATTTGGGCTGGCTTATAAATTCTGAGGTTTAGTCCATTATCATCATGGCAGGAAACTTGGCAGCATGCAGGCAGACATGGTGCTGGAGAAGGAGTTGAGAGTTCTATATCAGGATTGACATGCAAGCAGGAAGAGAGAGAGAGAGAGAGAGAGAGAGAGAGAGAGAGAGAGAGAGAGACTGGGCCTGGCTTGAGTATTTGAAACCTCAAAGCCCACCCCCAGTGACACACTTCTTCCAACAAGGCCACACCTACTCCACACCAAGACCACACCTCCTAATAGTGCCACTCTCCATGAACCTATGGGGGCCATTTTCATTCAAATCACCACAATGATGTGGCTGGAAAAATGTTAATAATTTAAAATGAAATAGGTAAAATACACATGTGTCTACTGGCAAAGCCATGACATCCTTATTAATGCTCTTTATCCTGGCTCAGCTCAAACCATGGGTCTCTGCTGTTTATGGCCACATCCATTTGGACCAATAGATCCTCACCCAAGACGGGATCAACCAATCAAGTTCTTTCTCCTGAGAATTTGAGCCCGTGATCATATGACTTGAGGCTTACATACACGATGTTGATTTGAGGCTCAAAGAGGTAGTGTAATAAGTTAAAGCTGGAAAAAAAAGCATTCAAGTTTAAAAAAAATATTATTGCTAATGAAATTATTGTTATTTGCAAGAATCTGTAAAAGGCCCTTTGGAAGGAGGTTCAGTAGCATACAGAGTCAAGACTCAGGATACACAAGCCCATGAGAGATAGAGGGGCAGCCCAGGCTGAGTTAGTCATTTGATTGCTATGAACAGGAACCCACACACAGTAGCTAAAAAAAAAAAAAAAAGAGAGAGAGAGAGACTCCAAAAATAGAACATTCAAGACATCCAAGAAAAAAAAAAAAAAAAGAACACTACAGGCAGGCAGAATTTCATGAGATTTATAAATAACCTGGGGCACAGTGGGAAAGAAGTGACATGTTCGACATCATCATCTTTGCAACATTTTACGACTTTCAGTAAAGTTTACAGTTTTCTTTAAATGTATCTTGAACATTTCTTTTTGTTCTGTTTGTGGACATTGCCCAGTCCTTGTTGTCCTTCTGCTTGGGAACTTTAAACAAAGTGTTCTGCAGCTGCCTTTGCTGCTGTCCAAGAGAATGATTGATTTCTGAATAGTTTGCTTCATGAGTATTCACCTGAGTGAGCCCTGTGATGTGATGATTTTTAGTAACTTCCTGTAGCTTTGCACGGAGACAGTCCTATCAGCCGCAGACAATAACGTTGTCTCTTCTTTCCTGTGACTTTTAACTCCCTTGCTTTTCCTCTCTTCTCTTCATTATAATCCATCTCCATGTCTTGCAGAAGGTTTGGCATCATTTCAGTGTCAGGGTGATGGTGTTGCGCTGTCTCCCAAGAAAGCCCTATACAGGGGTCATACCTTTGAGGCTGAGTGGTTTTTGACTTCAGATAGTCATCTTTTAAAATTCTTATAAACCTCTAAAGTATTATTGGATGTATATATTTTATTGGAGAGTAGCCTGGATAATTTAGCATGATTATAACAAGAGACTGGAGAGGGAGGATGGGCTTAGTGTGAGATTTTCCTAGGGTTTGTGTTTGAGGGGAGGATTCATTCTAGTGTTGGGTTTAGGAGATCGCAGCCTATGTCACAGATGACCAGGGCACTATGCGTGGATGCTGCTCTATAATGCTCAGTGTCTTAGTCAGCTAGGGATGCTGTGAGAAAACATCATGGACTTTTCTGACTTAAAGTGTTGGCATTTGTCTTCACATTTCTGGAGGCTGGAAGTCCCAGGTCAAGATGCTGACAGGCTTGGTTCCTGGCTGTCAGCTAGATGCTTTATTGCTTTTTATTTCACCGAAGAGAAAGAAGGAAAGATAAAGGGAGAAAAAAGGAGATAGACAGAGATAAACACACAGAGAAACAGAGAGACACAGAGTTGAGACAGAGACAGACAGAGAAGATAATGTCCTTTCTTCTTTATTTTTGAACCTAAGCTTGAACTCTCCTTCCCCTTGTCTCAACTTCTCAAGGACTGAGTGGATGTGCCACTGTGCCAGACCCCTTTGCTATTCTTGTAGGACACTAATCTCACCACAGAAGTCCTAGCTTCATGGTGTTGTCTAAGCTTAGTCACGTGCCAAATTCTCCACCTCCTAATGTCCTAATATTGGGGGTTAGGGCTTCCCCGTATCAGTTTAGGGCTGGGAGTGCATGGTCGGCCTGTGCCATCTGGCTCACTTCAGGGCTCCGTGTTACATAATGGGATCAGACCAGAGAGCGATTGTTCTTTGTTTACTGCTCAGTTGATTCTCCATGGGCTTTGGCCTTATGCTCACTGGCTGCCTGTGTC